AATACTAAAAATGTTATTTATCTGTTCGAATGCCCATGTGGTCTCCAATATGTGGGGATGACCACAAGGTGCTTAAAAACAAGATTGAGCGAACATTGCAGAAATATCAAAAATGGATACTTAAATCATACAGTATCCAAACATTTTATTATGCATAACAAAGATCCCAAACTTCTAAAATGTATTGGTATAAAAAAATGTTCTACCCCCTGGCGAGGAGGAGACATAAAAAAACTACTTGGGAAAATAGAAATGGAATGGGTGTATAACCTTAAGACCCTTATACCCCATGGCCTTAATGCAGACTTTGACCTATACAATTTTTTGTAACACAAAAGTATTTTACATGTCTGTTTTACACCAATGCCTTTTACCCTGCTCAAACTGTATTTTTATTTATGATTTTCTGCATTTACAAAATTGTTTTATTATTTCTTAATTTATTTTATTTATATTTCATATACATGTGCCCCTTTATTATATGGCCCCACCAATTATATGTCCCTTTTAATTTTGCCATCTCTTTCTTATATAGAGCTCCCTTTTTGGGAACTTTTGTTTTCATGTCCCTTTAATTTGATTGAGCTTATCTTCAGCCGACTACATTTCCCACTAAGCATAGCGGCATTTTGTCCGAATACCGGAAGTGCCGTAAGTCACGTGCTTTATTCCATTTGCTGAATTTATGCTTTTAACACTTTCATTTTTACTAGCAGAGTGTCTAATGTATTTTAGTTTTTGCCCTCTCTGTGGGCTTTTGCTTCTATGTCCCCCAATATTTGGCAGCACCTATATTACACTCCTAGCCGCCATTCGCGGCTTACCAACTACATCTCCCATAAAGCATAGCGGCATATAGTCCGAAAACCGGAAGTGCCGCGCGTCACGTGCGCATTTTCAATCATTTAATTTATGCTTTTAAAACCTTCGTTTTGGTCATCAAAGTCAATTATGAGTGTTCTTAGACCCTATACTTTGGTTCTATTGCTGTATTTTAAAGTTTTTATACTACCAAATGTAACTTAATTTTGATTGGATGGACCATTTTTGGCGCCAAATTTAAACTCCTATATAATACAACTAGCCAGGTAATGTTTGCTATTCCATTTGATAAAGTCTGTTGACGAAACGCGTTATGGATATTTTATACTGTGTATTGTAATATTAAAGCAATTTTTGGTAATTTATTTGTGCCAACTATTCTCTTTTTTATAGTTTTATATACACATTACTCTTTTTATACCTGGCTTTTTAGTATATTTTAGTATATTTTTAGCATTTTACTACTATATACCAACACTGACTTCGGAAGTCTCCTGCACTCCAAGAAATCCTAAAGGTGGGGATTAATCCACCTATGCTGATACACAAGAGCAGTTGGTCTGCTCCTCATTTGTAAGTACGTTTTCATCTACTTATATTAAGACTACTTAAATAGTGAGCACTATCGGTTGTCTCTCTTTTTCCTTGTTTGAGAATTGGACACCACTGACGGAGAGAAACCCACAGCATATCCCACAAGCGGGGATTATACCGCTGTATGCGCTTCTATCCTAGAGCTGGACATAAGCTCTATTAAATGTGAGTTGTTTAATATTATCTTTTCATACGTCACTTTTGGAATTATACAATACTGCACTACTGGTCGTCCTTCTCTCTCCCCTTTTGTCTTTTATATGAGTGGAACCTATACAGCTTATGAAGACTTCACTGCTGCAACACTTACTATAAAGACTATCCGCAAGGACACTTAAGTTGAACTTTTATTTATTTTTTTTTATCTATTACGTTGGACATTTTTTCTTAGTCACTCTATTTTTACTCTCTTATTGGCGCAGCCTTTTATTATTGTTTTTCCCATCATAAGACTGTACTACTATGTCAGCCTTATAGTTCAAAGCAACATTTTAAATTTGTCAGATGGACATGTTGCTTTGTGTACAATAATTGCACCTGAATGAGTATTACATCATATAAAATCCAGATGTGTTAATCAACACAAATACAAAAAGAAAAGTCCTGCGCTCACTCCCATCACTCTTGGGCGGCAGCAACGACCACAATACACATCAGCTCCAATACATATAGTAAAAACCCAAAGAAAAAAGTTACCTGTGCTCTCTCCTTAATCCCTATGTATATTTAAACAAATGGAGGTAATTTAGTTACTCTAATAGCCACTGGAGGGAATGCCGGCCTGCCAACGTCAAGGCAGACCCCCCTAGACGGGTCCTACTCTGACCCTTCACCTTGCTTCCTTGAGCTTCTGGCAAAGATATCTCTAATGAGACAGAAAGGGGTATTTTTTATATACACCCTTATATACTTATTAACCCTTAATAGGGAACACATGGGATGGGCAGCAGCTGGCGGGCATTCCCTCCAGTGGCCACTGGAGTAACTAAATGACCTCCATTTGTTTAAC